ATGTACCATTATGATTCGATATCACTCAAAATGTCACAAAAATATATAGTTTGTGACTAACAGTTAGATATGCAATTTATTATTCTTTCCAAGGAATTGTCTATGGAGATTCTCAATTCATTCAGGTCATAGTTGTCCCAAAGGTGCTTTTTCCAAAAGGTAATTGGACTTTCTTGGTTTTTTTTTCCTTGAACACGTTTTGCTCCTCATCCAAGTAGCTTCTTGTTCATGTTTTGCTCCTCATCCAAGTTCATAACTGAAGAAGTTGCTTGGATAAGAAGCGAAACGTTTTCAAAGGAAAAAAACAAGAAAGTCCAATTGCCTTTTGGAAAAAAGCTCTTTTTGGGTTTACAAGGCATTGCTTACCCCAGAATATATATCCATGAGATCCATAAGGCTTACATTCAAACAAAAGGTTATGGCAGCATTCTCCAATCTGATGCTTCTAGATGTGCTATATCAAACTCCATTAGTTCCAGCAGGATGATGTTTGACCACTGAATGTGCCTCAGAATAGAGGGGGCTGAAATTCAACACACATGAAGTACCAGATTGGGTCAGTTGACTGCTACCTTAGACTTAACTATCTCAGTTTAATTGAATTTTCTTGTTCTCTATGAATAAAGGACTATGACTGAAGCTTTATATCTACCACATCTTGCAATGGACCATATAAACTTTAGAGACTGATATGATTTTATAGTAACCAGCTTCAACCTGTTTTATTTACCCAGTTTAGAAATGTTTACAATGAAAAGGGAAGGCCGCTCTTTTACATGTACAGAAACTCATTACATGCAAAAGACCCAGAAAGTCCTGTTGCTTGTGACCTCAGATGGTACAAGAATGCAAGATTCAGCATGCAACTCCATGCAGTACAAGAATAAAAGATGAATAGAATAGACTAGAGCTGGAAGGGACCTTGGAGGCCTTCTAGTCCAGCCCTCTGCTCAAGCAAAAGAACCTATACCATCTCAGACAAGTGACTGTCTAGCCCAGTGGTTCTCAACCTTTTTAATGCCGCGACCCCCCAACCGGTCGTAAGTCAAGGACTACTCAACCGGTCATAAGTCGAGGACTGCTCAATTGGTGCAGCACCGTTTGCAGAATGGGACTTTTGGTGGGCTCAGCAGGGCAGAGACAGCCTGGACAATTCCTATTGGCTTTTGAAAGCCAATAGAATTAGACTCTATTCAAGAGAGTCTATTCTATTGGCTTTCAAAAGCCAATAGAATAAAAGGGAGTAGCACAGCTAAGGAAAAGGGGGAAAAATGGCGGACTGTGTTGTTTGGTGACCCCCGTGAAATGGTCGTTTGACCCCAAATGGGGTCCCGACCCACAGGTTGAGAACCACTGGTCTAGCCTCTTCTATACCATTTCGGACAAATGGCTGTTTCTTAAAAACTTCCAGTGTTGGAGCATTCACCGCTTCTGGAGGCAGGTTGTTCCACTGGTTAATTGTTCCAACTGTCAGGAATAATAATCCTTTGTGTCCACAGGTTGGCTAAGGCAGATTGTCCAATTGCCAAATATGCTAAAGAATTAAAACTGACTGGATTTTTATCGAGAGTTTCCAGCCATTTCCAACCCTTATGAGAACTGGAATTCTTCATCATAACTGGAAAACACCTGGCTGAAAACGGTTATTTAAGATCTCAGGCAGTCATTCCGACAGCTACCTAGAAATCTTATTTATAGATGAAAGAATAGAAGCTGAATGGCCAAAATACCTTAGGAGGTTCATGGCTGAGCAGCAACCAGGATAAAAAAACAAAAATCAATGCCAGAGACACTTTCTCATTTAAAAAGAATTATAGGCCTATTTTATTATTTTTTAAAATTATTTCTAAAATGCACAACAACATTTGCTTCACTCAACCACGCATTAAAACTCTTTTCCTGTTAACAGCAAAAGACTCAAAACATCTAGCTTCATCTCACTGAAAAAGAGACAAATCAATTCAATCTGACATAAACCATCAATACTGGGCAAGCAGCCATGTCTATAATTATGAACATCAAATATGTCAAAATCTCAAGAGTTGTGAGGTGTTGCCTGGGAACCACAGAAAGAGCCAGGACTGGCTTTATTCTTATCTCTTGGATCTTTGAAGAGAGTAATAAGCAACTGCTTTAGTAACTCAAGAGCAGGTCGCAGAAACTTCTGAAGAAGTTGGCCCACCCTCTTATTTTCTACAAATAATGATGCTTTCTAGAAATCTTCAAACATAAATATCCAAATCATGATGAAAAGCCATTTTCATGAATGAGAACCATTTTAAAGTTTTAAGGAAAGGATTTGTAGTGCATATAGTCTGAATTTACTCATGTACGCTATATCTTAAATCTTGGCATATCTACTCAAGAGACACTCCTGACAATCTAATTGAAAATTCTGGACTTAGGAAGCAAAGCAACAAAGCTTGACCCAAGTCAAATTGAAATTGTATGAAGTTCCCTTAGAGAAAGACAGCTTTAAGGTGCGCTTGGCTATTTATTTATTTGGTCAATTTATTGTACATAGCCAGCCTTTTGATTTCCAACTCAGGATGGCGTACAGTTAAAACAGAAATAACACTATTTAAAGCAATGGTTCTCAACCTGTGGGTTGGGACCCCATTTGGGGTCAAACGACCATTTCACGGGGGTCGCCAAACAACGCAGTCCGCCATTTTTCCCCCTTTTCCTTAGCTGTGCTACTCCCTTTTATTCTATTGCCTTTTGAAAACCAATAGAATAGACTCTCTTGAATAGAGTCTAATTCTATTGGCTTTCCAAAGCCAATAGGAATTGTCCAGGCTGTCTCTGCCCTGCTGAGCCCGCCAAAAGTCCCATTCTGCAAACGGTGCTGCACCAGTTGAGTAGTCCTCGACTTACGACTGGTTGAGTAGTCCTCGACTTACGACCGGTTGGGGGTGGCGGCATTAAAAAGATTGAGAACCACTGATTTAAAGAAAACCTTACTGAAACATATATTAAGGCGTAAAACAGTTGTGTCGGAGGCAACTCAGCAATCAAAAAATAAATAAATAAAATACAATCCAATCCGATTCACAAAACAAGTGACCCAGTGCCTGGGGAAAAATCAGGTCTTTGGGGTTTTATGAAAGGCCATCGAAGTCAGGGCCCCTGAATCTCAGGGGGAAATGGCAATCCCCAGGGGATGCAGCAAAAGGGAAGGGACATGCTTAAATGAGAGGGTCTGGAACAGGGGTAGGGCCCTTTTATGACTCGTGGACTTCAACTTCCAGAATTCCTGAGCCAGCTCCCAGAATTCTGGGAGTTGAAGTCCACGAGTCATAAAAGAGCCAAGGTTGCCTACCCCTGGTCTGGAACATGCCATCCCTGTTGGATCTTATCAGAGGGGGAATTTCAGAGGAATATCAGGTAACAGAACCCTCCCCCCCCCGCCAAGCCACCAAGCTGGAAAGGTTGGGGACCATTGTGCTATACCAGTGATGGCGAACCTGAGTGCCCAAAATGCAACTCAAAACCCACTTATGCATCGTTGAGTGCCGGGTGGGCATGGCCCACTGGGTGGGCGTGGTCCACTGGGTGGGCGTGGCTGCAGTGGTAGTGGCAGACTGGGTGGGACTAAAAAGTTCAATCAATCAATTCCAACTTTGCAAGATTTTTTTTCCCGCGAGAAGTTGAAATTGACTGATTGAACCTTTTTTTTTTGCACACAGCGGCAGAGGCCTAAAGCGAAAAGGTTTTATAAAACCCAGCTGAAGGCCTAGGACTGGCGCGCATGCCCACAGAGAGGGCTCTGAGTGCCGCCTCTGGCATCCGTGCCATAGGTTCACCACCACTGTGCTACACAATATTTCTTCACCTCTCTTCTCTACAGCCTAGAAAAATATAGAAATATTTCTAAATTTTTTCTTTCTTTCTAAAGCAGGTACAATGCCAACTTTTAATAGGGAAATTAGCATAAATTTAACAAAAATGAGGAATAAAACTTTCAACCAGAAATTAATTTTGCATATTTGCTCAGTTCACAGAACAAAATATATGTTGTTTGTATGTACACTGACAGCTTATGCACCAGAGACAAATTCCTTGTGCGTCCAATTACACTTTGCCAATAAAGAATTCTATTCTATTCTATTCTATTCTATTCTATTCTATTCTATTCTATTCTATTCTACTCTACTCTACTCTACTCTACTCTACTCTATTTCTTCACAGTTGTGTTTATATGTATAAGGAACAGACTCCTCAATGTTTCACCTCTACATTCAGATAGATGATGATGAGGGTCTGGGGATTTTGGTTTTGGGCAGGGGGGACAGAAAGAATATGAGAGTTTGACCTCTGAGACTAATTTTTACATTATAACGTTTAAAGTAGGAGGTGTGGTTGCCTCAGGCTTTGCTTCTTGAAACAGTTCAAAACATGTCATCACTAAGTCAGATTTCCAAAGGCTTTAGATGGGAGTGGCTTTTTTTTCAATGCACCTTTTTAAAATGCTGGAACTAAATGCTACTGGTTCATCCCTTGACCTTCTCCATGCTCTCTAATATACTCAGGACTTTAACCAATGATAGGTTAAATGAACCTGACTCCTAAAAGATAATCCTAACATCTTCCTTACACATTACCTATTTCATTAAAACAAAAAAACAAGCCCTCTTTTTCACATGCAGGTCCTGCACTCCCTCCAAAGTGACCATGTATAGTAGGAATCAATAAAGGCAAAGCCAGAACAAGGTCTTGGACAATCAGAAAGAATGCTATCAACATGGCCAGAGGAATGTGTCCTTTTCCGAATCCTGATCAATGAAGTTACTGAGATGATGGATGTACCTGGCATATTTCTTCTCCATTTAACAAGGAATTTAAATTTTGCAGATAAATTAAATTTAAACCCTAATCCTAACCCTAACCATTTCCACTCATTGGATTACTTATTCAAATTTTCTATCCTTTGTATTATTTTCCATCCCATATGGTCTTACTCCAACACACCTACCTTGAAGCTAAAATCTAGGCCTTACCTTTTCGGAGTAACTCTTGAAGACTTTCAGCACTTTGATTCAGCACAGCCCATATTTCTTCTTCCTGTAGTGGTCCACCCCGAACTTCCAGGGCTTCAGCTAATGACACATGCATTTTATCTGAGAAATCAAAACAAGACAACCTTGTTCAAGAAGGCATCGGTACTTCCTTTCCATTCAGCATCTGTACTAAATTTTATTCTAAGGCAACAGTCATTTTGATAGACACAACTCTAACTCCAACTTGCCTTACTTCCACATTAAATTTATAACAAATGATGACATATATATTTGGTCTTTCTCCCATCAGGCCAGAAACTATAAGAATAATGTTATGATTATCACAAATCTGTAGCCCTGACTCATGACTCTTTCTTGGAATCAACCATCTAATCTCTGGGTCTTATGTGACATTTGTGAGGCTTCTACTTTTGAAATTCTGATCTTTGGACTAGCTAACAATCCTGACATGATTCTTGAAATTTTGGACTAGATTGTGACTATTTTTCTACATCTTCCTGTTAAAAGCAACGCCATTCAGGCAAGCTTCTTGTTACAATTATATCTTTGAAAAACAACGTGGCGGCTGAGTTACAATAATTCAATTACATACAGATATTATTAGTAAACATCTCAAACTATTACAGCCAATATTTCCTCTCTTTTTCCTTTAATATGTACTGTCTCTTATTTGAGTTGGTGTACTTCTTATTCTATCAATCAGATTAAAAAATAACTTTCTTACATTTATCAATAATTTTTAGTTTATATACGTCTCAATTGTTTTAACATTCCATCTTTTAGACAATCAGTAACCTAATATTCTTATTTTCTTATATTTTCTAAATATCTTAAATTCAGTAACCAAAGTTTCTTCTATTTCAACATTTAGTACTTCCTCACCCTTCTTCTTTATATATACTTTCTCGTATTTAAGCTAATAATTTCCATTCTTACTGCTACATCAAAACATATTTATTTACATTCATCAGTAAGTTTTTGGCATATATATGTCTTAATCACCTTTACCTAACCTTTATAAGCAACTCAATGTTCAAATTTAACTGTCACTATTTATACTTCTAGATATTGAATAGCCAAAATTATTCTTTATCTTCAATTCATAACAATATCTTGTATTCAAAATACACATCTTATCTACTTAAGATAATTTCCATATTCATTGTGTGTGTTATGTATATTTGAAACCAGAAGCATGACATGGTTCACACTCGTGTAACTGTGGGCACATTGTAACAACCAGAACTCTGAGGACCAGTTGTAACTGCCATTTGTTCAGTGCCATCATAAGTTTGAAAGGTCACTGAATGAGTGCTCATAACCTGAGGACCACCTGTACATAATTTTTTATCATCAAGCTTTATGTACACTTTTGTAAGTGTTTCTTTGTAGTTGTATGTTGAAGAAACATATACATATTCAGAGAAGAAAGAGTAAAATGCCTGTGGATATATAAGAAATCCCCAATCCATATAACTAGAAGACAAAAAACATGCATAAGATCCTATCATATCAGTGGTGGGATTCAAATATGTGAACAACCAGTTCTTTGTGTGGATGCTGCTTCCAGAAGTTTATTCTGGGCCTGGGCAACAAAAAATTAGCTACCGGTTCTGTCGAAGAGGTGCAAACTGGCTGAATCCCACCACTGTATCATATGCAATACAAAACAAAATGTACACTGAAATGTAAATGGAAAACATATCTTAATCTTCAACTTTATATACTCACAGTAAAATTAGCTGAATTTCTTAGATAATGACAGGAGTCAGAAGGAAATAGCAACAGGTTTTGGAAAAGGATAATTACAAGCAAGAAATTTTAAAATCAAATTATTACTGTAAAAGGAATAGAGAAGCCAAAACAGCCCAATGAGAATTCAGTATGTCCTGTATCAAATACTGAAAGGATTAGAATATTCTGAGAAAAAAAATGGTACACAAGATTGAAAATGTTATTGCAGTGTCTTCTGTAAAAACTGATATAACTGCACTTGAAAGTATCTTTGTTTTTTTTTTACACATGTGGGAGTGAGAGGCTTCTGTCTAATCTGTCTGAATCTGGGGTTGGTCCTGCTATTCTTGTATTTCTCAACATAAAAGGTTAAGCTCACGTAACAAAATACAAGTAAAAGCTTCTGTTTAAAAATTCAAGCTCACTAAAACCGCCTGAAGCAGTTTCATACTTGGTTGTAATCCCATCAATATGAACTGCCAAGAATGGTGTGACACAGACGTAGACCTGCAGAAAGAACTATGTAGCGGTACAGATGTCTGGGAGATAAAACATCAAGTTGACAGTGCCACTGGTTTCCTAAGAACATTTCACTTCAATCCCTAAATTTACTTTGATAATGTTTTATTTGCTCTGATAGCGACTTCAAGAAAAACAATGCATACAGGTAGTAGAATATAATCTCGACTATTACAGATGCTGTTGGAGAAAAACAAGGAAAACACTGGAAGATTGAAGGGCAAAAGTGACTTGAAAATGGAGGTGGAGGAGGAAGAGGAGGAGGAGAAGGAAAAAGAGGAGGAGGAGGAGGAGAAGGAAGAGGAGGAGGATAGTATGATCCTATTCTTATGCTCCTAAATCAATCAGACAGCTGCACAATGAAAAGAGTGTTATCTTTATAATGTGTCTCAGAATGCTATTTCACTCTGGCTGCTGTAATCTCATAACACGATTTCAGGATAGCTCATGGAATTATAAGGGAAATGAAAGGCAAGTGAGTGAGGGGAAGTCAAACTAAAGAGAAGATCTAGGGAAAGGCTGAATGCCCTACTATAAGAAAGGTAATGAAATGATTTGTAGAAAAATATTTGGTGCCAAATTGTATGCAATTTTAATTTAAGTGTACATTTCAATGCACTTTTTAAAAGGAAGTGGTGGAAAAGAAATGAGCACGATTAGGAGCCGGGGCATGTGGGTTAGATAGTTTACTTCTTTCTTTACCCACTATAATCCTTTCAGAAATGTGTACACTACCCAAACTGTTATTAGCCAGAGGAAGAAAGATTTTGCTGGTGTCAGCAGGAATTCCTTCCCAAAGCTAATTATTGTTGGATAAGTAATTTACTGTAGGACTGTGGCACATGAGGAAATGATTAAAGCAGGATGATCATCATGGGAACCTCCAAATTGTGTGGAATTCCAGAACCCATAATGCCAATAACAGGATTTGTTGCTGAAAAAGTATGTTATGATCACATGGGTTTACCCTGGGTAAAAAGAGTCCATGCTTACTTATTTTAAAAGAGGACATTTAATGTTTTTACACATTTCATAGCAAATGTAGTTTAGTTTAGCGCCCAAAGAACATGAAATGTAAGGCTTTAGAAAAGAAGTATAAAGAAGGGGGACCATAAGGAACAAAAAAAAAGTGGGCAGACATTGACGTAGAAGTAAACACAAAAAAGATGCAATTAAAGAAGAAGAAGATGGGAAAGAGATCATCTTAAACGTTTGGTTTTGGTGCTTTGTGTTCAGACTATGGACTTGTCTTTTGACTTCAAACCTAGTGGGTGACTCTACGGACTTGCTCTGTGCTCCTGGACTTGAGAATTGGACTCATGGGGTTTTTCACTGGTTCCTGTATGGGGTGAATCTGAGGGAATACTATTTGGGGCTGGCGAAGCCTCAATAAAGACTTTAAACCCACATGGTGTGTGTGTGTGTGTGTGTGTGTGTGTGTGAACAGGACAGCCCCACATTTTCAAGTTAAAAAACATAATCATTTCAAAAAAGGAAATCAGTTTGCATTTAAGTCACAATCTTCAGTTCTGCTTTTTGTCCCCATCAATTTCATTTGTTCCAGGCAGTCACTATGCAAGAAAAATACACTGCATAAAACTAGAACAGAGAAGGACATTACCTAACTATCCCTCTGTTATACTTCAAATATTATTATTTGCCCATCAATGGCTTATTTGACTGTGTGTTTTCACCGGAAAAGAGATTGGGGTGGGTGGGTATTGTTTTTTATTTCTGTTTTTATTTTCTATATGGCTTTATTGCTTGTAAGCCCCCTAGGATCACTGTGAGCAAGTAGGCGGCTATATAAATTTTCTAAATAAATAAATAATTTGCACCTTGACTTTTTAACTATGATGGAAGTTGCTTAAATAGATAGAGTCCACTGGGTCTTACTTTTAGAAACTTCCATAGTCAACCACATTTATGCTGTCCACCGAGTTCTGCTCTTGAAAGCAACCAAAAAAGAAAGAAAAATCTCACTGTGCAATTATTCTTTCAATTTTGAAAGATGTTCTCCAATCTAAAATCTAAAACTGGTTAAATTACCATCTTGTTATCTTTCCCTTAGTTATACCCAAAACCACTGGATTGCTGGTTTTGTAATGAGCGGAAGGGTTGAAAACTGAACTCATACAAGGTCCCTAATCTAGACATGTCCTACCATGAGAGTAACTAAGGAAATCCCTTTACTGTTTGTCACACATCATGCTCAAACTAATAAGATCCCTGATCTGTTGCCTCCTGACCATAAAAGATTAGAATTAGACTTCCTTCTCACAATTCTACCTTTCTCTCACGTTGAGTTTGCTCTTGTAGCCAAAGTCTAGATTGAGTCTATAGTCCACTGGAATAAAAAAGCTATGAAAGGGATCTGCAGTCCTCATGCATCTGGTTGAGTATGTTGACTCATTCTTATATAGTAGATTAGCTAGTTTCCCTATTATTGAGTATTATGTAAACTTTAACAGACTTTGAATTCCCTATCCTTTCTCTGAAAATCTTAAACATTAGAGGCGACTCCAGTTAATGGCTCAACTTTTGCCTGTCAAAATTCATCAAGTTTTCTGCTTGGTGTATCATTCAATCTTTCACACCAACCTGATTTCACAATGGATATTTTTTTTTCTCCTCCACAAACCACACCTTCTTTTCTTCTTCCCTTCCCAGATTCAACCAGCTGAACTTGTTTCTCTGTTGTATCGTGTGAAACCAAACCAATCTCCCATTGCACAAATGGCAATCAAACTTTTTTGAGAGGAAAAAGAGAGAGGGAGAGGGAATTTGGGACACACCCTTCTTCTGAGGATGAATTCAGCAATTTTCTTTGCTCAGGCCTGATAGAT